CCCCAAAACCCCAAAACCCCAAAACCCCAAAACCCCTAATAAAAATCCGTTGGTTGAAGTACAGAACAAGCCTTAATAAAATTTAAGATTGAGGAGCCTCTCTCCATCTTTAATATAGCTTAGAGGTTTGGTGGATCTCTCTTTATAGTTCTTTCTAAATCCACCTTGTCTTGTACTGAACCTGCTGGTCATCTCATTAAATAGGTCCGGGTCTTCATTTCGGTCCTCCTCTAAGTTCAGGGAATTTAGTTGAATCGATTTTCTAAATTTATCAGAAAGGATTACTTATGAGATTCGTTGTGAGAGAAATAACTGATGCTATTTTTCCTTCCTAGCCTTTCGTAGTTTTACCTTGTAAGGATGATTCTTGATCAGCTTTCTGATGCTTTCCATCTTTGACCGTCTACAGAAAGTTCTTTTTGGAGATTCGCGAGAAATTGAAGGTGAGGATTTTAGCTTGGAGCTTCCTTTTAGCACCATAGAAACATGTGATAGGAAATTAGATGAGCCTTGTTTGTATATTTCTATTTCGTGTGAGCAGAGATTTGAATTTTGAAATTACCTCCCATTTGTTCTATCCGAGACAAAACTCCAGGATTCTTTTTATATCTTCTGTTAGTTTCACTATAAATACCAAATAGTCGACCCAATAGTTTTAAATAATTTCCTCATCGAAATTATAACTTTCTAGTCCTTCAAAAAGCATTCCCCTTCACTCAATGATTTCAAAAATACCCTCTTCAAATTCAACTTCTACACTCCTCCCAGAATGCCACAATATCTCTTTTGATACAAAACTCAACATCAAACCCATTCTTACCTTCCAAATCGATTAATTCCCATTCCTAACATCCAAAAACCTCTTAAAACTACTCTCAGTCTGCCCCTGATACTCCTCTATAAATAATCCCTATTCATTACTCCTTCCTCTTGAAGTAGAAATACTGCCTTTAAACTCTTCTTCTCCTTTACTAGTTATTCTTAAACGAGCTCCTTGGATTCTTCTTTCCTTTAGAAGCTCTCCAATTGGTTTATTTAGTAAAGGACTGTTAAGCCTATTTTAGTGAGATGAAAAGAATTGAAGAATGAGTGTAAGTAAAGAAAGGAGAGGTTTTATGAACTTTTGGACAATTTTTGGGCAAATAGAATTGAATTTTGTACTCTTTCGTGTATTTTGGAATTTTATACGGTCTGTATGGCCTATGTTTAGATAGGATATACTGGAGAAATTTCTGACGTTTTATAGGAAGAATTTTTGAATTGATTTTTGGGTTAACTTCTGGTTGCTCTCTAAATACATCACAACATTACCTTACCTTCTTTTCTCTCAACAGGTCTTGTAATAGGACTGATCTCATCATGTGCCATAAAATGACTCTGTTTCTCCAAATTTATCCCGCTATCTAAACGAATCACCTCGAAATCCTCACTGAGGTCAGTATTAAACTCCATTGTTTTATTTTATATTTCTTAATCCTTTCAAGGGGTTTTGGGGTTTTGGGGTTTTGGGGG